CCTCAGTCCTGTTTCAAATCAAGAAGTGTTTCTTCAGAGACTACTGAGGACTTTCTTTTCCATGTGCCTCTGAAGGCAGGAAGTTGCCTTTTTTTTTTTTTTTCGGTTTTTCGAGACAGGGTTTCTCTGTGTAGCTTTGTGCCTTTCCTGGAACTCGCTTTGGAGACCAGGCTGGCCTCGAACTCACAGAGATCCTCCTGGCTCTGCCTCCCAAGTGCTGGGATTAAAGGTGTGCACCACCACTGCCCGGCTAACACATATTTTCTTAATAGATTATTTCACAAGAGATTTTACATGATTAAGTTATGAACAAAATACCAAATATATACAACTTTTCCATCTTAACACTGGCCCCTTCCTTTTGTTCTATACTCTAGAACAAAAGTTATCAAACCAGAGATCATAGGCTCAATCCACCTCATCACTTATTTTTGCAAGTAAGCGTCATTGAAACATAGTCATGCTTACCAACTTACATATCATCTTTGGCAGCCTTTGTGCGAGGGACATGGTTGCACATTGCTAATGCTCACAACATATTTATTGACGTATTTACGATTGTAGCCAGTTTCCTGAAGAGTATTCAACCATTTAGTTTCTTCTACAGTATAAAATTACCCCAGAAAATACAATGTTGTCTCTTTTAAACAGTCCATTAAAGAGAACAAGTCTATGACTATAGCTTGGCTCCAGAGGAAGTCACATTGCTGTTGTTTCCATGTATTCATGTATTCATGTCTTCATGTGTTCATTCACATAAGGACATCCCCCTCTAGAAAACATGGAATAGAATGTGATTTGATAGGACCATCCATTTGTCAGAAATGTGGCAGATACTATCACCCTATGACTAAGAGATCTTAGAAGTTGAAAGGATGTCATCCTGAGATTTCCTCTAGCCCACCATTGCAGTCTCCCAGAATTACTGCCTCAGTGATGTGTGGAGACTTTTGCTTCTAATCCTAGGACTAAAACGTTCAACACTATCTTCTCTGCCCCAGTAGACACTGTAGATCAGTGTTGCATGTTTAGATAGACTTAACTGGAATATTCTACAAGGAAAGATAAAGCCAAGGATGCCTGATTAGTGACTGAGTGTCACTAATGGGAGGAGGAGAGGTTGACAATGGAAGGTGGTGATACTACCTTGACATGTAGTTGTGTTATGGAAAACTTTGAACAAGGCAATCAATGAGACTTTATGGAATTTAAAAAAAAGGCAACTGAGTGCTAAAAGAATAGGGGTCCATTACATAGTAGTGAAAAGCTGGGTGTGATACTACATGCATGTAATCCCAGCACTAGGGAAACCAAGCTGGCAGGATCATTCCAGGCCAGCCTGGGATACATAGCAAGAACTTGTCTCAAATAAACAAATAACTAAAGTAGAGAAAGAACAAACACAGAATTTTTCCTACCTTGCATATGTGGCAATTCAGTCCACCTTGCTAACCCATTTAATCAATTCTCTTAACTCTAGAGGCACATCTTGCTGGGACCCAGCTTACTTGTCTCCAGAGCATACCTGTCTAACTCAGAAACTTTCATGTGGTATTTTCTGAACTATTGCTAAAATGAACTGAAAGAACAATTTTCAGGGTAGAATTTCCCTGATGATTTCATCTCCAGTGAACGTAACACAGGCTCTTCAATGGTGTTTGCCAGAATCAGGAGGTGATTGTGTTGTTAAACACATTAAGCCGATTTGTCCTGAAACATTTTTTTTTCTTTTTGTATATGGTGGTTGGGTTGCAAGGTGAAAATGTTCTGGGTGCTAGGGCGATGAAACTGCTTGGTAATTACAGTCTTGTTTGGAAATGGAGTGGGGGGCATTCA